ATATATATATATATATATACTTTTCTATCCAAGTTCCTTATCTCTTCTTTTTTCTCAATCTTCAAATGTCCAGCATCGTCTCTGTCTTAACTTTACGATGCTCTGCCACCATAAAGCTAGTGTACCGAAAATTACGAGGGGGAATCGTGCAAGAACTAAGCCGTCTTAGATTAGCCACGGACGAGCTTTCTTTTACGGTAAACACCAACAGTACCAAGTTGCAATGCGATGACTTCGTTGAACACAGTATTCGAATCTAAATTTAAATTTAGTTTATAGCCTCAATGTCCGAGATTATCGTTTCTTCTTTTCTCAACATAAAACTCAAACGTAACTTTTAAATTAACATCTTCAAACATTATAGATTGTAAATGTTCTGTTTTTCTCTTGATACATATTTCCCAATTTATTTCTTACCACTTAGAAAAAATTATCTTAATGTTGGAATACTTTCTTAATTTCGAATAAATATGATTCATTTATATATATAAATTACAGAATATATTTATTGTAAACAGAATGTATATATTTTATTTTATATATATTTATTCATATATTATTTATTTGTCCTAAAAATAAATTAATTTCTAATTTTTTAATACAACAGCGTTAAAATTAAGCGCAGTTTTTTGTAATTATCAAGTGATATTTAGTTTGCAAAACCATACTAAATTCAAAAAAAGTTATCAATATATTCTGTTTAATATATTTACATCTTAACTACTTATCTCTTCTCGTTGTATCGTACAATTTGTGGTAACGAAAAAAGTCTGTCATGTCAGACGTATTAAATAAATGTTAGACAATACTTGCAGTACAGTTCGTATACTTGGCAATTTCAACTTCCGGGAAATGATGCTGCATGGGAAGGCAGTCGGCGAGGAAGGATCTATCTGGGGAACATAGTCTACCACACTTTATCTCCTTCTTATAAATGAAACAGGTTATTTATTATCCAATAAAGAGACACTCCTGGCACGCGGCACCCCGCTGGATACTTACGGGGGTGGCAACCCCTGACGTGTAAATATCGAGGTTTCTCCGCGTCCCTCTCCGGAGACCACTGTACGGCGTTCCATCTTTTACACTAGTTTTCGACAGCACATATTCCGGACGTCACGAGAAAATCTCGAGTTGAAAGGAAGGAAAGAGGTCCTCGATGGGCAATTATTTTTCGCTTAATTATTTTAACATTTTGATCACATAATTGTCTTTGTACGATCTAATAATTAACTATTAATATATCAATGTATAGAATATTGATGTATTTCATTGAAAAGTTATTAAAAAATGCTTAAAAAATATAAATTCAGCTATTCTTTTTAATATGAAATTTTTATAATATTATATATAACAATTTATTTGAAAAATATAAATAATTTGTAACTTAGTAGACTACAAATTGAAAACAAAAATAGACTAAACTGGAATCAAGCTGAATATTTGTGCTTATTATTATATTATAAAAATGTATACATACATGGACGCAAACATTTCAACAATTTCATTTGAACTTATTTTTAGTAGTAATACATTCTACATTATTTAACCTGAACAATTCAGCATTCATACGGACACAATCATAAATATACAATGACACGATTATATTAAATTTTCACTTTGTAAATTCTGCATTGGTCGTATCTTCCGGATGGATTACTTGCTAGAAACGTGTGCCGCTTTTGTGTGCCGCAGCACAAATGAAAAATTGTTGCGCAGCTAAGCCATTCGACAAAATGGCCTTCATTAAAACTTTGTACAGCTTTATGGAGGCGACTAGCCCGAGGTTGTTTTGCACACGGTAGTGAGCATGTTGCATCGAGACCGGGCAACGAAGCGAGCTGATATAGCCTATGTAGATTGCGAGATATGAAAATCCGGGATTATCAAACGCTTTGCCTGCCAAGCATGAAAGACGCGACAATTTAATCACATGCGCTGCAAAAAGACTCGCAAAGCGACCCAGTACGCAAAGTACGTCCTCTTCGACTTTCTTCAAGCCGTGATTTTCAAGCACATCCGTTCGCATACGCTCGCGCACACACGCGAAAACTTTTAACGAAGTTTGCGAAACGGCTGATTGATTTTCTCTTAACTCGATCTCGAATTATTCTCAGAAACGTGCGATGCATCAAATATCGCTTCGAGATTGACCGGAAAGAAGGCTGGGAATATCTTTTTTCTCTCATCTTCATAATTAAAATAGTTAAACTGATATATAAGATATAAGGATAAAGAAAACAACGGGGAGATGGAAGATTATAAGTGAAGATTAATGAAAGTTATAAATAAGATTTTTAGCTGACTGCAGCATTTGTTGTCGCGTATGAAAATTATCTGCAGAAGGATTTGACCTGACATATTTCAACCGGAATAACTCGGAATAAAGTAAGAAATTAATTCTAGAAAAAGATGGGAATGTTTTTACATAATTTGAAATTTTAAAAGAAAGTTATCGAGCGTGACCAGTAATTTTTTCCCGCGAGAAATAATGACTGCGGTCCTTCGTAATCGTGTCATTTGTAATTTACGCTTGAAGAATGTGCAGATCATCTCTTCTAGAGCGATTTCTTCGTCACGGATGGTTTGCCCTTCTCGTTTCCTAATTGATCCTATTAAGACATCTTTCAAACATCTCAGATTTAACGCACCGGCGCTTCTCCTCCGCGGGATGTCACTTTGGCTAAACGGCAACTTCCGTCAATTCTTCACAAAAGAATTCTCATCGTATTCGACAGGACAATGCTTTCCCTCGAGCCGTGCCGAGTTTTAGCAACTTCTGAATCCGTCGCGATCCTCGACCGAATTTTCTTGGAAGAAGACATGCAAGCTCGCTACAACTCCTCGGATATACCTCCTCGTCGTTCTCCATTGCCTTGTATTCTCACTCCTCACGCACACTCTTAGTATTTTCACGGATTGTGACTTATCCTCGACGAAAGCAACGCATATCTTCCACGCAATCCTCTTTTCCGGAGGCAGAGAAGCCAAGGTACAAGGCATGTCTGCATTTTAAGACCGGCGGAAGAAATTCCAGGGAATTTGATAACTACCTATATCCATGATCGCGTCGCGGTGCTGTGACAAAAAAAATTTCCATTTCGTCGTAAGCGTCAACGCTGCATCTCAATAAAGAATTTTGAGCAATGGTAAAAGAATATTTCGTGCAATTTCTCGTTGAATTTATCTTATCAAGAATTTTATAAAGTATTATTCTCCGTCGAGAATAATTATATCACAGTTATACAAATGCATATATGGAAATAGAACTTTCGCAAAAAATGATACATATATATATATATATGTACATAGAACGATGACTGAGTTCTATCTTTTTCTTCGAAATAGTATCGAGATAGTGGCGTTGGATTTCCTCTTGGACTTTTATCGGCTTTTCTCATTCCGCTGTGTAACTCTTACGCGAATCCTATCTCCGTATTTTTCTTCGCCCTTGACGGTCCCTTACCGAGTTCTCGGAAGTAACCCCTGCCGGGCCGTTATACCGTTATACTGCTACGACATCCCTGGATTCAGCTTGGTAGATATCTTCCTCTTCTAATATTTTCCGATACAGCTACGCGTTGACGTTGAGCCAAAGTCGCGCGCAATATGTAATACATCCAATTTCTAGTTTTCATTTAATGTCATTGCTGCAATATCTTACAAGCATTATTCATGACTTACGTTTATATATAAGAATATTTCAAAATCGAAATTATATCTTCCAGGGACAAATATTGGAAAGTAATCTGAGAGAAAGTACATTTTTAAATGTGCTGCGGCGCTTCTCTTCAAATATTTTAATTACATTCCAATTTCAGATGGTTGAAAGTTGTAAAAATAGATTGAATAGATTTAAATCTTTATTATAATATACTTATTTAAATTGATAAGAGCTTTAATAAATGTGACAGCTATATCTATTAAACAAGAATATCGACGGATCATTTGCCGAATAATATCTCCAGTACGTTTTGAAAATACGTTCGATGGTGATTCGTAGCCGGAAATACTATTCCGTTAGAATGACAAACGCCAGCAAAGGCTAATGGATTCGGTCAGAGGTAATTCCGATCCATTATCTCGCTTGTAGAGCCTCCGTCTCGCGGTCTGTTCAATTTATCCTTTTGTTTTCTTTCGCATTCTGTTTCTTCTTTTTTTAGACGAATTCACTCTGCTCTTCTCACCATTCTTCTTCCTTGATTCTCCAATTGTTCGCGTTCGATGATTCATTTAAGTAATTTCACACCGCGTGCGATTTATAGGACTGTAAAATTTTTGATAATTATTAAAATCGTTGGATAACAATTAATATCGTTAAGATAATTATCATTATAACAATTAAATCAAATCAATTAAATCAATTTAATTAGATTAAATTAAAATTATACATAATATATTAAAGAAAGTAAATGAAGAATACTTTCGAATGAAAGTAACATCATTTTTTAAAAGTATTGACAATTACTTTTTAAATATTGTGTAAATTATAGAATTAAATGTGAAAAAAAAATAATTTTGTTTGTTCCAGGCTTTGGCCAGGATACGCCAGTGCACATAATAATCTTGGAACTCTAACGATAGACGATCAAGCGGAATACCATTTTCTAGCAGCTATTAACGCTCAACCTGGTCATGTAAATGCTCATTATAATCTCGGACGATTGTACAGGTCAGTGAATGAATAAACACTTTCTCTCTGGGAGGATGGTACGCATTATATAACGTTGCGGATTATCAGTTGCTAATATAATTAATCAATTGGTCCAGCCGCCGGTATGACTCATTGAATCGCATTATATCAATTAATTATTAGGAACTGTTGGTTGCTCCTATATGATAAAAGTATCTCCCCATCTACTAGTTCGCCATTATATCAACGGGTTATCGACCCGGCGCGAGCCGCATTTCCAACGGTAAATTTAGCATGGACTGTAATTCCGGTGGCACGGTTAAAATTAAAGTTTAATTAACGTCTTCCTACTTGATAAATTAAAATTTAATTAAGGGCAGAAATGGGACACACGCGGCTGGTCGATGCGTACATGTAACAATTTTCCACTCATTGTGCGTAAATCGTGAAAACAAGCAATCTCATTTATTTCTCTTCCTCTTTCTACTGAGAAATTTTATTTGAAACCTGCATATATCCAATGAAATATTTACGCAACGACTAATTAAATGTTTTCAGTTTCTCATTCGTTTTTATTTAT